AATAAATTCACGAAATACACATGCAAAAGTAAACACGATTATGTATGCGAAATTCGGCCACTAGGGTCAGCTTTATTGTATAAAAAATATAGAGAAAAAAATAAATAGAAGAAAAAAAATCAAGATGTGGATACTTTCTTGAAATTTGAGCTTTTTTTCGATTTTAATTTTAGGTTGGATTTGCGCCTTTTGGGAGGATTGATTGTTTTAGCCGTTTTTTCATCAGAATTATCGCTATTTTCCGACTTGTTTTCAAGGTAAACAGAAAGCTTCTGTAATGTACATATAATAGCTGTTTATTATATGAAAAAAGGACAATAATGAGTTCCTAAAATTTTATAACTTTATTAGGAAAAAATTTTTAATACCCTTAAAGTAAGCAACGAATGAATAAGTGGATAAACAGTATCAGCTGATACTGTGTGTAATGGTATAGTCGCTCGGGTTAGTAGGCAATTTTTAAGAATTCCATATTCCATACACATATTATAAATTCTTAAATCATCCCCTAAAAATGTTACTTGTTAGATTTGACTAATAAGCGGTCATTTTTTTTGCTCCAACATACCAGCGACATTGATAGAAAATATTGATAACAAATTACTCAATATTCCCTTTTTAATGTATTGCTTAAGATGGGTTCTTGCAAAATCTATCGAATTTTTTGCAAGTCGCGCTAACTTTAAATGATCTTTTTTCTGTTTTCGTTTAGGAGAATTGGGGCGACCAGTCTCCATATTTAAAAGATCAATTCTTTGATCATTTAAATATGCAATAAACATAAGATCTGGTCTACATGCGATACGTGAATCACCTTTTTGTATGGTATCGGGCCAACTCGCCATATCGCCCCTAATTTTTAAGAAATAAAGTTGGCACCTTTTAATATCATCCGAAACGAAAACTGATTTACTTACCATATCCTCCATGTCTCATCTTTTACTAATAAATCACCTAAGACAATGCTAAATAACGGTGCTAAAACTTCGCAAACATATGATCCCTCATTTATAGCCGTCTGGTTTAAAACATACGACTTATATTTTGGCGAAATCCAAACCTGATACCTAAAAATTATATTATTTTTATTATATTACCAGCCAAGTAATACAATCATTAATAAACTTACAATGTTTCCAATAATCGTTTCGTTATATTTTTCAACTTTTCAGAATTCTCTATCCATTGGCCGAATGGAGGATCAGGAGCTTCCAATAGTGGTTCCTCTACTCTAATACTTACCTCTTGAATATACTCTTCGCAAGTTTGCAATAACATTTCATTGTTATCCATACAAAATTTTAGTTTGGTATTTTTTTCAAAAACATCACGAAGAGTTTCCGGCAGATCAGAGATAGGTGATGACTCGATATCTAATATACCAGAGCAAAGTGGGTGATTATATGGCAGTTTATTCAATTTAACAGTCTTTAAATCATTCTCCAGTCTTTGCCATAGAAGTTTCTCGTCCTCCGTATTTGCGTTTGCTACGGCCTAAAACTTTTGTTAGTAAAATAAGACAAAAAAATATAGCATCATAAGAAAAAATAAACATACATGAGCTACATTCCCCTTTAACATATTTAAATTGTTTTCTGCATCATCGATCCAAGATTCTATATCCACGTTCTGCAAGATTTATGTAACATTAGCTTAATATTATAAACCAAACCTATATAAAAAATCCGACAATTATACATACTAAAGCATTCAACTCTAAAAGTGAGGCCATATCTTCAACTGCAGTTATTACCTAAGCCAAATTTTAAAAATAAGTTGTCCGAAATCATATAAAACTGATGGTACTAAAATACCCGCGCGGGTTCAGATATTGATAGATTTATTCATCATTGGGCCCTTATTACAGATATTAATCTGATCACAAATGTTGATAGCACACAGTAACAGCATCCAACTACTATCTTCACCAGACTACCTATTACCAATATGCTTCCACATATGCAATCAGTGGACACAAATCATCATGATTACAAAATATTAACATGTTCTTACCCGTTGTTCTAAAACTTCACCTTCTCCAAAACTTCGGAGTTTTTCTAGACGCAACGAATCTTCGTTTGGAACAAGTTGTTTCACTTTTTCTAATGTTTGAACAAAGTTTTGGACTTCTTGATCACAGTTCCCAGACCAACGTCCTGAGTTACACGTTTATACAAGGCAGTTGCAACTGTAATAGTTGCTACTGGTTCGAAAGTTAATAAAAAATTTTCCATTATCAGGATTCGAGAAATTATTTTGGGTATAAATTGAGATAAAATCACTAATAAAGCGACAAATAACCATAACTTCGAGATACTGTCCTTTTATACGTTTTCCTTCATCTCTTCTCTGAAACTCATGTAGAAGGTTAGATAGAAGCAAAAACATGTGCTCCTACATCGATAACAGAGCCATGTAAGGTTAAAATCGAAGACTTGATACTCCATAGTACATGCATACATTGTGCGCATTTAGGCCTGATAAGGTTTCGGTCGAATTCTCCACAAATGAAGAATAGATGTGGCATGAGTTAATTGACCGACTTTGGTTAGGTACCGTAATTTCAGCCGGGGCGCCCCGGTCGAAAAATAAAAAATGGCGATTTCTACTTGTGCCCCGTCTCACAAATAAGTTATGCATAGCGATAAGCCTCGCAAGGTTATACAGATAAATTTTATATGCGGAATTATCATGCTAATTAACGTGGACAAATACGATAAATTTAAACTACGTATCACCAAATCGCTAATTCAGATTTATTGAGATTCCCTTAGAAAATCATATTCACATCGCTTATATATTCCACCCACTACCATTTTGCATGTTTTACAATACAGATGTGAACCCCTATTTTCTCATAAATTTATGGCCAAATATCTGATAGTAGAGTCTGGACACGGTGTCCGGGCTCGTCAAAATTGCGCAGAAAATGAATTAATTACATGGCGCAGTAGTAAGCAAATCAGTCATGTTTTTTATTCGAAGTAGCAAATTATTTTCTGTTACATTATATTACATTTGGTAGTGATTACTTTAAAATAAAACCCGATATGGGGAATGCTTTATTAATATATGTTTAAAAATGCATGTGAAAAAAATACTATTTTTTCTGATGGCAGAGTCTGGACATGGTGTCCTAGCTTGTCAAAATTGCGCAGAAGAAATGGCGCAGTACACTATCAAACTTTCTTTTTTAAGATTTCAGCCATTACATAATCCTTTTCATCCTTAGTTAGATTTAAGATGAAACCTGGAGGGGTGGATTTTATTTGTGCTATTTTTTCTTTGCCTATACTATTAAAAAGCTTATAAACCTTTTCAGATCTCTCCACCCTTTTCCGCAAAGCTTCGTCAGAACATTTTGTCTTAGGAATTGCTTCTCTAACCTCACTTTTAACTAATGCTTGAGATCCATCCTTACCATGTTCGGGTTTTAATTCTTTGTATCATTTAAATACAGCTTCCCCAAAATCAAAATAGCTGAAAATAAGACCTCGAGATACATCTTCGTTTTTAGTTTCGGCATTATCAATCTTATCGGAAAGTTGCAAAAAAATACTGGTTGCGCTTTTATTTGCTTTTTTCAAGCTCTCTCCAATAGTGGGAACAGGTGTATCAGCTAATAATTCTTCGATAAGTTTTTTTAACATAGACGATACCTTCTTCCCGCTAGTTTTTTTCGCCTTCTTGCTAGACGATTTTTCGGTAAATGTGGATGATTCTCTAGTACATTTTTTCTGAGTAGTCTCATTAAGTAAGGGTTCTTTCTGACCTAATAATGGTGATGTATACACTGGTGAATCTAATCCAAGACTATTGCCTAACATATCTGCAATAGCCGAAGTTTCACTAAACTGAGATGATTCAGAAAACCTTCGTTCAGATATTACAAGATCAACAGTTTTGTCACAATTAGAAATAAGACATTTGTTTTCTTTTGTAAGTAAAAAATTTTTTTCAATACATTTTCTATGATATACGTGGCCACACAAAAGTATTGTAAAAGATTCAAAGCTAACTGTTAAAATTTTTTTATTACATATTTTACATGGTGGCAATTCCATAATATCAATATTTTCTACTGCATTATGTTTTATTTCTTTTAAAATATTAAGAGCAAGGTTTTGAAGATTAATAAGGGACATGATAATATCAGCGAAGCAAGTACAGATGAGTTTTTTATAACAAACTTTTATTATAATTACTTTATTTTATAGTGTACCCTTCATGGCTAAAAAAAAATAACTTTAGATAATACATAGTATCGAGTCTTTAACTTTACTAATTTCAGATTTGGCGATTTGTTCATTTAGAATTATTTAGTATGAACCAAGAACTAATCGATCTACTGGCTGTAAATGATTCACAAAATACTAATTTGGATTTGGTAATTTGTTTATTCACGACCATAGATTATAATTACTCTATTTCTATTTTTGAATTTCTTTTTAACAACACCCTGTCTTACAATCCGCATGTAAATCAGGATGTGTTTTTTATTAGTAATTCACAGAACTGCATAATGCTAACTCAAAATTTCATAATATATGTATTATGCCAAAACCTTCGGGAAAAAAAAAGTTGATGGATTAATTACTCATTGATTGCAGAATTAATATCAAACGCATTTTGATTTTTTTGTGCACAGGAGTAAATGCATTGCGGAATTAATATCACAATTTTTTGTGCACCAGAGTATATGCATTGTGGATCAACAAAAAATCTTCTGAGCTGATAATAATATTCCAAACTTGAAAATTTTCACATTAAATATATTACTTTATTATAACAATAACGAGTAACACTAATAATAATTCTGGTCGAAGTGAAATACTTGATCCATTATATGAAGTGCTATTATATCAGAAGAAAGATATAATAGCTATTCAGAAAAAACTTGGTACAAATAGTAAGGCAAATCAAACAGCAGTGCATCAAAGCAATAAAGCAAAAACACTTCCTGATTTATATGAGTTATTGTTAGAATCAGTGGGAGATTTAATACCGATAGAGAAAAATCTTAATATTGATGGCAATTCCATTCTAGTAGTGGAATATTGAAGCAATAAAACTCATGAAGCTTCTATGGATATTTCAATTGGGGAAATATATAATTTGCTTGTTTGTTTAGAAGAGGATATAATAACAATTCAGGATGAACTAGGTATTATTGGATATTCTAATCGAAGAAGGGCAGAAGAAGCCGATGAAAATGCAAGGGCATATCTTTGAAAGTTTGAGAAATTTCACGGTCCCCTAGAAGATGATCCAGGTGTGGTATTAAAGAAATATGGCGAAATGGGGGTAAAGAAAATTAGATTTACTGAAGAGGGACTTCCGCTAATTCCAAATCTTACTCCTCAACAATTGTATGAAGTTTTCGTAAAAAATTCAGCTAGCACCAATCATTGCCTATGTTTAGAACAAGTTAGCTAATTTGTATTTTTTTGTCATATAGGGTGTATACAGTATGGCTCCGCAAAAAACTCTCCAAACTTTTATATATGCAATATCTTAGATAAACGAAAAAATAAAATTTAATAAACGATATCTAACTCATCTATGTAATTAGCTTTTATCTTCGATAAAGAATGGTCTTGCCTGATTATACAGTTCTCTTTTTCGCATATTGATTATAGTGTATCTCTTAGATAGAGAAGCATGGTTATTGGGTGAATGCCGAAGGGCTTCACTAGTATAAGTGTTAGCTTTTGATACATTTTTAGGCCCATGTGCTACAGAAGTGAACACTGCCCCTAATTTTCGTAAAGAGCTAGGAAGTAGTGGTTCACCACTTTCAGAAATAAATTCATCTTTTTTCAGAAATGTATTTAAGTACGTAGATCCAAGTTTTCCTGGGTCCTTTAACTATCCAGAACAAATATTATCCTGAATCCAAGTAAGGAGTTGCTTAGCCCGCTTCTCATTCTTTTCTAGTGATCTAAACACTCGAGGAATATCTTGTTGATCTCGGTTTTTTGCATATCCAGTTACAGTCCCATTAGATATACGCAAGTTTTTAATTTCAGCCGGACGAATGCAGAGCATTATCATTACATCGGCTAGGGCCTGTTTGTCAGGTATATTTGATACATCGTATTTATCCAATCTTTTCTTGACCGATTCTAACGAGAAGTGGTCTGGAAAATTAATTCTTTCATTTTCGCGTTGCTCACTATGCTCTTTTTGAACTTTATTGGATAACCTAGTTACCTCCGGATTCAATGTAGCAGAAATTATTTTTTCTGAAGCGTTGAGAGGCCATAATTCTCTTCGAAGCCTAGAGAGGTGGGATAAGGCAACGATGGTATTAGACTAAGGTTCTAGATATTGCCTTTACATCTTTTTCACTAAGTTTATCTTTCATAATATGCTGAGCCATTTGTTTGATAGTCTCCCCTTCTAGAGTGGTATCAGATACTAAGCATATATCCACATCTCCTTCTTCTTTGGAGATTATTTGGCTTTTACTTCTCCCAATTCTCTCGTGAGGAATTAATGCAAATGCTTGTTCTTTGCTAAATTCATACCTTTTTTGAAGGCGATTACAGGCCTGGTGCCTTTTCTCTTTATCTACTAGTGGTGTGCCAGTTGTTAAGAGCTCAAGTATTTCCAGCGCATATTAGCTAAGCTTTTCAAGACTTGTCTCATTGGTGAGTTTGTGATCTGTGACGAATTTGGTTGTAATGGCAAACATGATGTGGTAAGTAGAATATAAGGTGAATGTTAAATCAATCTGTAGTATTCAGATTATATATTCTAGGAAAAAGGTTCAATTCGAAAAAAATATTCCACTATATGTAGTTATGATATGCGAAAAAATATAACCTTGGAATGGTGGTTCCGTAGCTATATACGAATTTATATCACGTTTTAGTAGAGTGTTCGTGCCTGAGCTAATATATGTTCTGGCCCCAAAATATTTGCCTCAACAAATGCATTATATAAAGCGCCCGGTCTATGTTTTGAAAGAGCTAAATTTGGGTGATAGAGGAATTTCATGAGAATATTATTTCTCCAAGCCCTCGTTTCTTTACTATTCCAGTCAATTTTTAATAACCAGTTTATATCACTATCATTATATACTTTGAGTAAAATCTATAAACTTATTTTTCTATTAATTAACATAAGTAAACTTTTTTCTGGATCATACACAATCACATTAGGTATAAAAGAAAGATATTCTCTTAATATTAGCATTTCATTGAATGGTGAAATTAAGAGTCCTTCCTCTTTCCAATGCATATAGCCTTTACGTAGCAATTTATTATATGCTGACCCATTTATAATGATCATGCGATTAGTTTTGGGATTAAAGATTTTTTTGCGAAATTTATCTGTCGGTTGATCTAATATATCCATAGCGTAAGTATAAAAAGTCATTTATGACTTAACTTAATACTGAATAATTTAAATACACATTTTACTATGAAATTAATCCGCAATAAAAAGTGAAAAGGTTTTTATATCCTAAATACTT